AATAGTATATTGAAAGACAAGTGTTACAATGCGACCTATTGTAATACGACTATCTTGTGGCACGAGTGGCGACGCGAAGCGTAGCCACGAGTGTCCGCAAGAAAGGAGTATTAAAATAAAGCATTGTAACCCGCGTTTTTCATACTATTTTTTCTATTTCGGTGCTTTAATTTAATTAAAAAAATCATTATCAGAAACTATAGGGAACATTAGAACTAACATGTTTTATGTTGGGAACACTTTTTATACCGTTAAGTTTTAGGTTGGCAGCGTAGTAAGACTGACATTTTGAAGTTCAAACATGGAAGTACCCAACGAAGTACCTACTTGTACTAACTAGTAACTGCCAACTTAAGAGATGAATTACCAAAAAAAACGACTATAATCACTGTCTTTGTACAACTGTTTTCGGCCGAAAACAGTTGTACAAAATCATCATTGTGACACCGAAATAGAAAAAAATTCTTTTGGCGTATTTTAGTGAACGATCTAAGAATCAGGAATTTTAGCCCAAGAAGTCTAAGATTCGCCATTCACTGTCTGAGGGAAATCTGAAAAGTACCAAGGTGTATTTCAAAATATTGTTTTACACACAATTGCTACGACAATGGATCTGTATCACAACCTACCAAATGAATGAAGTTAAGTATCGTAAAAGAAGGCCATTTTAAGAAATATAACATGGTTACCACCTATGAAATGTCATTCTCGTTCCTTCTGTAGGTTTTGACTTATATTACACGATTGACAGCAAACAGTTGTGTTTGACTTTACCGTAAATGTCAATTAATTGTCAAAGTAGTCCTATTGTTCTGACAGGGAATTAGATTTTATAATTCCCGTTGTTATGACAGCGGGAATTATGGGTCTGTTTATGTGGCTATAGACTAGTATTTTAACCACCATGTAAATTATCAATAAAAAATAAATATTTTTTTCTACAACTGTCAAAAAAACCTGTCATTTTCTGACGGATTTCGAAACGCGAAGTACTAGATTTTTAATCGGTTAATTAATAAGTAAGGTTGCTCTTGACAACGTGCGCGAAATCGTCAACAGTGAAAAAAAGTATTTCGCGCACGGGACAAAGTTGAACTTAAACAGCAATTTAATTAACAATCAGTTCAGTTGTAGAAAAAATATTGCATATAACGCTAGCGCGAAGTTATTTCGCGCATTTGACTGATATTTTAACTCGGCTTCGCCTCGTCAAAATACCTTCAGTCTCAATGCGCGAAATTGAACTTCGCGCTCTTGTTATATAAATAACTATTTATTTTTCGTTTGCCTATTATATGTCAATTATATCTGTCATATGAGATATATAAAGCAGTCTATGACGCTCGAGGGCATAATGAGAGGGCATAATGCGATGACAATCCATTATGCCCTCTCATTATGCCCTCAAACTGCCTGTCAAATATATTGATGGAGTTATGTCATAAAAAAAGATGCTACTTGATTCGTATGAAGCACTAACAACATTACATTTGTATATAGACGGAGAGCTGGCGACATATTTCACTAAGCGTCTCTTATGTGGCTCAAAATTCGCTGAGCGATAGGTATGGGGTTCGTCTCAAGTAACCCGTGAGTCTGCCAGCCCAAAG